CACACACACACACACACACACACACACACACACACACACACACGGTCTGACAGTCCTGTAGGAGCTGTACTTCCTGTCAGCCTCCAGCGGGGGGCGCCACCTCTTGCCTTGTTACTTCTCTCCCTTCATCTTGGATTCGTACGTCCCAGCGTTCTTGTACGCTCCCACGTAGCCAGTGTTGTCCACGAGCTCCTCGCGGCCCTCACGACCTTTGCCCTTGCCGCTCTCGTTGAAGCGCTCTTTGTGTGATCCGGTGTAGCGGGACGCGTCGGTCAGACGGTCCACAGCCGCCGTCTTCGCCACTTTCTGATGAAACACAGACGACAGGAAACAATTTAGACCAGAGCCCAGTCTCACCTGAGCTGCTGCCGCCCCCTGCAGGACAGGTGAGGGTCGTCCCCCAGAGGCTGCAGCAGGAAATAGAGAGACAGTCCCAGGTTTATGGACGTTCTCATGTGTCCTCAGACGTCCACAGTTAAATGGACTGATGTTACAGGGTCAGTTAGGGACAAAGGAGTGTGGTTAGTGTTGTGTCGTTGTGTAGCTGCAACCTGACACTTTTCACCGTCCTCAGTTCGTGTTGAACGTTCGTGTCCCATCATGTAATCAAACCGTCTCACTCACGCCCTGTGCCTCGTGGTCGTTTTACAAACACGCGATGACCTTTTAAAGTAATGGATCCTCTCACCGTCACTCCGGCGTTGGACGGTTCTCCTCCCTCCACCAGAGCGACGATGGACCGCAGCGCCTCCTCTTTACTTTGACCTTTGAATCTCTTTGGAGCCAACTCCTGCAGCGCTCTGTGGAACTCCTCGTACGTGATGACGCGAGACGTCTTCTGTCTGCACACAAACACAGCTACTGGTCAGGTGACAAGGTGGAACCGTTACTGACAGGAAGTGTTAGCAACGCTTTGTATTCACTGCTGGTAGGTGAGTCATGTGACTGATTAGAACCGATTAGGAAGAGAACGTGGGACCTGGTCTACAGACTCACTTGACTTTGGAGAAGACGATATCGACGTCAGTGGCGGTGACGTTCTTGCCGTCGATGATCTTACAGTCTTTACACAGTTTGGCCCAGTTCTTCCCGTTCAGCTCCTTCCCCATCGCCTTCGTGTCTCCATGAACGGCGAACTTCTTAAAGGCCGCCAGCAGCTGCTCCATGTCCGCACTGTCCGCCATGATGCAAGAAGGAAAATCTGCAAGACACACACGCAGCTGATGACATCATCTGTGACGTCATCACAAACTGACATCACAGTGGTCAGTCACGTGATCCCCACGCCGACGTTCACTAGACTTGTCTTTCAGGAAGTCTAGATTCTGATTGATGACCGTTTGTCTCCCTCTTCAGGCAAAGAGAGTCATTACACAACCACTGGATGTTTAACATGTCCTCATTTTTCTTTTCAGTCTCCGAACATTTGATCTTTTGAACTTTTAAGGAAATCACATGAAAATGTGTCTTTACCTGAACATGTCTCAGAGCCGAGGATCAATACAGATCAAGTGTGTGTGTGTGTGTGTGTGTGTGTGTGTGTGTGTGTGTGTGTGTGTGTGTGTGTGTGTGCGTGCGTGTGTGTGCGTGCGTGCGTGTGCACGCTCATATTAACATTCATACACACGTCTCTGAACCACGAACAAATAAAACTTTCTGCATTTACACATTTAAATAAATTCACTCAACTAAAATCTGCAGCCTACTTGTCTGTCCTCATTTATCTGTCTGTCCTCCATCAGTCGTCTCTCACCTCGTCCTCTGTCTTTCTTCTGTCAGTCCGTCTGTCAACTAGTCCTCTGTCTTTCTTCTGTCAGTCTGTCCCTCACCTC